GTGAAATGCATGAGTTCTAGTTGTCTGCGCGTGTGTGTGTGTGCTTCTTTTTGTTGTGTGGTGAACCCATATGGATGTTTCCTTTCGTCGTCTAGAGGTAGACGAGTGGAATTTGGATTCATGGAAGAGCACTCGTATTCATTTGGCGAGGGGTGTTCAACGTCTGCGTCAGGCTTGTATTTCTGCATAGCCCCACTAAACTAAACTCAACGACTCTGACTTTTTGCTTTTAAATACAAAATAAACCGACCGAAAAAAAGAAATTTCACAAACACACTCAAATTTATACAATGTGTAAACGCCATAACGTTTGGCTGTGTATGGGTGTGTGTGTGTGTGTGTGTGTGTAACTGCAACACAATGCATGTTAGAATGTAAGAAGTACATTACTGTGTTACTGCTGTATAAGTACTGTATTTCAGTCAGTTTTGTGCCACAACACTAACACCAACAACAACGAGAACCGTATAAGTAATGCGAACACTTCTCATTCGAAAATGTAACAATTCACATACATTTGCGTACGAAATTTACAGACAAATTGAAATACAGATGTGTTTGAATTCAAAATTGTTTTCGACAGTAAATCTTTGAAAAATGCAGTGGCAACAAGTAAAGTCAGCCTTAGTACCCTTCACCATTTGGAAAGTAACATTTTGGAAAACATATGTCTATAAGTGCCTAGTTCAAGGGTGATATATGTTATTTCAAATTTACCAAATATTGAGCAATTCCGTTAGAAAATGTCGAAAGAACCATTATCTGGGACCATACTAAAACACGGACCCATTACGTACGAAAATACAAAATTTTAAACAATTCTGTTTATTCATCAAAATACCGAATACCGGAAAGTACAGTTATGCATATGTGCGAATAATACGAAGGGGCGGGTGTAAAGGACAAAAATTCGATGTCTAGACTTTAAAGTAAGTATTACATAAAACAAACTTGCGGGTAATAGTAACATCCCTCAATGCGATACGATGTGAATTCTGTGCTCATTTATGCAACAGGACTGTCCAGAACACTATTCTTAATATAAGAGCATTTCTTTGAACAAAATTGAAGTTAGTTGGCAAGCAAGTTTATGTTTTGGTGTTGCTTGTGGGTTCATATAGAAAGCTTTAACCGGTCTTCTATGCATAGTTAGATTTGCCCAGGACATTAGTGACACATTTCACAATGATCCCTTCCCCTTCGGCACACTTCCAGGAGGGTGGCAGTAGCAGAGGCACACATATTCTCCTCTGCAATGACAGTTCTTTTATATTAACTTTTTGTATTCATGGTGCATATTGTTAGACATCCCTTGAATTTATACGATTTAGACAAACACCAGTGTGCGTGTGTGTGTATGTGCGCATTGTCAGTGAACGGAAATGCACATACTGCCAAAAGCAACACAGGCGACAGTAACATTTCTCTGCTGGAACTTTGAACATTATGACAAGAAATCTTGTTGACAGTAATTGTAGAGAAAGTACATTATCTGTCACAAGCAGGCTTGGTCGCACATTGCGGATCACTCCTTTTGCAGCATACAGGATAATCGTCCTTTATTGAAAACAAGCAAAGACAACAGGGCTAGCCAGAGCCATATCTGAAATTAATTTTCAAATGAAAGTTGCAGTCATACACTCACAAATTTCCAAAAGATAAACACTTACAACCAATTACGTATAGACAGACTGTGTCAACGTGAAAACGACTGGAAAAGGACGACTTCCAAAACACCAACATTAGCTTTGTTCTACTTTTGTAATGTAATGTAAATTTAATTGAAATACTTGCAAACATTTACTTAAGCATAGCCACAAAAGTTGATTGAAAAATGCAATGTTTAAATCAAACAATGAGGTAGTACAGAGGTTTTACATATTTCTCTGAAATATCATATCGAATTATTTATTACCTATAAACATATGTTTGTGTGCTTTATCTTGAAAATATTAATTATATTTAAATGTCAGCAAACAAATAAATAATTAAAATATGATTGGGTTCAATTGAAAATGTAATGAAAATGTTTAGGAAAATATTGTTGCAACTATATTCATAAAGAAATTATTGTTTTAATTAAAAAAGGGAAACATAAGTGATTAAATTCCAGTGATACATCTACAAAACAATCCCCGCCAAACAAACATCCGATATCGCATACGAATTCAGACCGAAAGTCATATTGAGACATTTAGTTACAATGCACGTCATGTGGGTACAAAACCCAAAAATAAATAGACAATTATCACAAAAAATTACGTATCAGATGAGGCAGGAATCTGAAAAAAGTAGGATACACGCACACAGACAGAATCTCGCACTTTGGACAAAAACTATATGCGGCTTTTCTAATCAAAGTCAGGTATTTTTGGACATATCACATTTTAGTTTGGCTACGGCAAAAAGAGCTTTTTGCGACAGGTGTGGAAACATTTTTTATAAGTTAAACATGTAACGTGGTGGATTCGTCACATGCTTTGTTCAAAGCATACAGTCGTACCCATTGCACTAATAGCAGCAACAATCAATCAACCAGGACAACTTACACACAAGAACATCCGACGAGAACAGCATCACCCATCCAGTCAAGTATTCTGCTACCGTAAAAATGTGTTTACTGCATAAGATAAATAATTCTTGTTTACTTGGTCTATAAATTATTACGACCAGTTTGTTGGCGATAGAAACCGCATAAATCATTTGCTGTCCCAAACTAATAAAATTATTAGTTTAAAATACCTTTTGGATCTGTATCTCATTTAGTTGAGTGACACAGAAGCATCGGCTTGTTATTTTGCAGTAGTTCAAATATTGGTAGTGAATTAGAGATAGAGATAAACTGTAGAAGTACCTAGTCAAAACGACCAAAACGCGAACGGTTATATGTGTTCACGATTCTTCTTAATGGAACCGGACATCCCCACAGTGGCTGCCGATCTCATTTCGTGTAATTACAAAAAGCAAGCTGCCCTGAGTGATTAGCCGAAACCGAATTGTTATGCATTTATGTTACACTACCTGGACACCTCTACAATGAGTTGCCGATAGAAACAAGAACGACTTTATAACTAGTTCCCGACTCATATTTTATCACGAGGACACCATCCCTCAAACTTTTCGAATATCTTTAGATCTTCTGTAACGTACACTTCGTCTATAAAGTTAACATAATATCAAAATTCCTGGTCATCAATCATTAGATTTCCTGATTGCCTATAAATCGTCATCGCTTACCTCGTCCGACACTCCAAAAGGAGTGGGTCAATTTTACGCACCTGAACAAAATCTGATATAATACAATGGACTGCGAAGTTTCAACAAATCGAATAGCCTTTACGATTTGTAATTTGCTGAAATTACGAATTTTTGTAGGGAGGTACCAGTGTAAGAGGTCCATTGTGACCCATTTTGCTTTAGTATTGGTACAAAATTACAAATAGGGGATATATATTTGGACAGGGCCGATCATTTGTTAATCTTCAAAACTACAATTTTACCGCAAACTCTGCTGAATATTAAAATTCCTTGACTAGAATGAAGATTCATAAAGAAACAAATGTTGAATCCAATTACTTCTCTTTTAGAATAATCATCATAAATCTGGAACCAATATTTTCCAAAAACATACGATCTGAAAAGCATAGGTATTTAACGAACATATATTCCTACAAAAAATATCTGATTCGCCCATTCGAACAAAACTGAAGAAAAATTTTACATACAAAATTCAAAAATTCAAGCGAGATAGTGTGATTTTTTATATTTAGCTGGAAAACCACAAGTGGCTATCGTTAGAGCACTCCAACATTTAAATTTGAATAAATCTTTTGTGTCTCGTACCATCGCACGTTACTCTGATGGAAGAAACCCGCGTCGCAGGGGCGGAAAATGGCTCGTGAGCTGAAAATATCGCAATATTCCATTCGGCAAATATTGAAAAATGAGCTCGGATTAAAGCCATTGAAATTCCAAAAAAGTGCAAGATCTTACATCGCAACAGAAAGAAAATAGATTCAAAGGAGCAAAAGAGTTGCTTCGCTTGGCTAAAAATGGTGAACTGCCGAATTTGGTTTTCTCCGATGGGAAAAGATTCGGTGTTCAGCAGTTTGTAAACAAACAAAATGATCGTGTTTACTTGCCAAAGAGATCAGCTGAAAATGTGTACCTTCGGTTGGCCACCAACTCAAGTGCGGGCCATGGTGATGGTGTGGGCCGCCATAACAGCCGATGGTCGCTATCCGCTCGTGTTAATCGACCGTGGCATCAGAATAAATGCCGAATATTATCGCGAAAATATTCTGGAGGGTGTATTAAAGCCTTGGGCACGCAAACATTTTTGCCACAGACCTTGGACATTACAACAGCACGCGCCTCCTAAGAATGGTTACAAAATAAGGTATTGTGGTTTGTTTATTTGGTATTGAGGTTTATTTCGGAGCTAGGCCATTTCTCAATTACCATGGCATATATGATTTATTTCAATCAAAAATATTAATTGGGTTTAATTGCAAACGTATTTCCCTATCTAAGTATGTAAAAAGGTCCCCAAATGGTGAAAATTGGTCGATAGGATTATTTTTTTTCCGTTATATTCACCAGTAAGGAAGTTGATTATGGAATTGCAATCAGAACACAATCCAATGTTATAATTTAAAGGAACTGCCTCTGAGATTCGACAATTATGTAAATAATTTAATATCCTTATTTCATAACTCATATTGGTTTAGAAATATTTTCCCATAGACGCAATTTCAAGAACACAAAATAAAGTTTAAAGAATACGATTATCGCACCATTCAATTACAGATGCAAATCAAACTAAACGACAATGGTGAAAAAAGTTTGCATCTGTGCGTAGCATCGATGCAGAAAATCAAAGTTTCAATCTATGTTTTCTGTCATTTCTCCACAGCGCATTGAAATTAAAATTGCAAATTTCGTTGCTTTAATAATGAAAATTCTTCCTTTTTCTCCTTTTTCTTCCCCCTTCTATTTAGAGATCAGCAGCAGTATTTTTGCCATCCGCATCAGTAGATGTGCCTGAGAACTCAACGGAAGGAAATAGACCAACGAAGCAACTACCAAAACGGCAACAACACAAAACCACCTACAACCCAATCTACTAATCTACCTACACGCAACTAGAAAAGACTCCCTAAGAAACCGAACGTTGTGTAATAACTACTTCAGCAAGAAAATAACAATAGGAGCAAACAACAACAAAAACATATCGGACTACAAAATCCCCTCCGAATGAGTGAATCAAAGTGCAAGTGACATTCCGCGAATAATCCAAGTTCTGTGTGCCACGACCGAGCGTAATTTCCATAATTGAACAGAGCCACCAAATGTAAAGCACCAAACGAGAAATCAACATATCTTTGGGTTTGCGTTCGTTCCAACGAGAGATTCAAACGCGAAATAAGCAAAAAGAAAAAAACTAAAATTCGATTATAGTTGACCCCCTTCAGACATCATCTATCATTCGGCAACAACAAATGCCATCACTTGCCTTGGGAGAATAGAATAAAAGAAACGACATTTTATTCGACCAAGGGATCACAAAAAGTAAAAAATACATGAAAAATGATACAACCTAATACGATTATGACCAACAAAAATATTCGCACAATAGGAAAGCATCATATTATGGACCAATAACAATAAGCATTACAAAGCAAAGCAAAGGAAGCGTACAAAAAGTGCAGGACGATAAAAAGAAATCCACAACAAAACAGCAAAGAAAAAAACGAAACGAGCAGAAGTGTACAAAAGAAACACAATCGAATTAATTTTATTGTCATTGCAAAACAATACAATCGCTCACACACTCACACACAAACACGTGTCAAACGAAGAAAAGTATATGAGCGAAGAAAAAACCCGCACTCAAGAATTACAAGCAAAATAACACTTTAAGAGCGACATTTATTCCCATGCGTCATTTGTCATTGCAACAATTGTAGGGCGATAAAGCGCAGAGTCATTGCCAACCCCAACAACACAAACAACAAAACCATTGAGACAGAACGATTTGTTCAATTCGCATTTATTGACCTCTTGGCAAATAGTGGTCGTTAACATTGCCAGCCAACGATCCAAGGGGCACGATCATACTGCCGACTCTACACGAATAGGACACGAATGCTAAACGTGTGACAAACGCCTTCGGGTTCTCCTCCACCGCACCAATATCATCATTGGTCCTGTAGCAGGAAGTACAATTGAAGGAGCTGCCACAAATGTTGCCCACATTAACGCCAATGCATTTGCTGGAATTACGTCTCATCTTACTTTGCCTGCCATCCATTCTACTGGCCACAACACTGGAGCCAGGTAGGTGCAACTACTTATTGAAATACATAATATTGAACAATTTTGAAATTTACGTTGATTTGATTTTTTCGTATTTTGCAATTCAAAATAGGAGATACTAGTTATTAACGTTTGTACTTCCAAACACAAAGTGCGGAAATTATGTTTTCCACTTCGCAAATCTCTAGCTAAACTAGAAAGTAAAGGAATAATATCTGGGGGACAATTATATGATACTCTTCTCCACGAATTAACTTTTCATGCAAAATGTACAACAAAACGTCCGCCACTCACTGTCAGTTTCCTAACATCACTTAGGAGCGTTTATGAATGCGTACGACTTCAATGTTTTTTAAATTTTTAATTAAATAGAACGTATATGGGAAGTACTTTTTATATCCTACACCACATAGTGGTAAGGGTATTTTGTCTTTGTGCATATATTGTTACTTTTAAGGATCTTCATAGAATCATTTTCTGAGTCGATTTATGCATGTCAGTCCGTTTGTCCATACGCCCATGTATTTTTGTGAACAAATTGCAAGTCGCATTTATTATCCAATTGAGATGAAATTTTCCAAACGATATTTGTTTGGCCCAAGAACGGACCCTATTGAAATTGGTGAGAATCGGTTCAAATTTAGATATAAATCCCTTATACATCTTAAACCGATTTCGGGTTAATTGTGTGCCAAATGGCCAATATAATTTCGAATGACACATCCAAATGACCTGTATTTTGGCACATCCGACAGAATTCAGTCTAGAAGCAAGCACATTAAATTTGGTAAAAAACCGGTTCACATTAAGCTATAGCTTACATATATATGTTTCCTCCGATTTTGTGTTTAAGTCCCTCACATTCCCAATATGCACCCCACAAACATGATATTTGTTACCAGATATCACATACAGCCCAGAAATAGCTCTGCCAAATTTTATCAAGATCGGTTCAGATTTGGATATATCTCCCAGTTTCATATATCTTCAACCGATATATCTTCAACCGTTTTCGGGTTAATTGTGCTCCAAATGGCCCATATAAGTCCGAATGACACATCCGACCGCATTCAGTCTAGGAGCAAGTATGTCGAATTTGTTGAAAATCGGTTCAGATCGGTTGGCTATGGCTCCCTTATATTTGTTTCATTCCATTTGGTTTTTAAGTCCTCACATTCGTAACAACAATGCTATTTGTTACCAGTTATCTTGTAAAGCTCGGAAATACCTTTACACATTTTATCGAAATCCGCTTAGATTTGGATATAGCTCCCATATATATCTTCATCTCCATTCATCAGCCCGAATGGACTGCATTTTGGCACTTCCGATGGAATTAAGAAACTGGGGCGAAATTGATTCAGATATAGCTGTAGCTCCCATAATGTGGTGTTAAAGCCCCTCACATACGTAATATGCACTCCACGACAAGGATATTTTCCACCATATGGTATTTTTTTCTTATTCAACCGAAGTTTTTTATTTGGTGCTACTCGGTCCGGTATATCTATTGCTCCAATAAGTATTTTTTTTAATACAATTCTTATTGAAGTCATATCATTGGTATGATTTACTTCACATAAATTTCCAATATAAACTTTTTTGTTACGAGAGCTGTACTAAATACGCATAGTGGTGTAGGGTATTATATAGTCGGGCCCACCCGACTTTTGATCTTTCCTTACTGGTTTAACACAGATTAGTCTGTATGTGCTAAAATCAAATTTTTAACTCGATTATCAACTATTTCAAAAGGGTTCACAAATAAATTGTTTCATATTAAATCATGATAAATGTGACCTGAATTTTAGTTACAAGAACGCATGAATAGTTACGGTTACAAGAACAACAATAACTCAGAATATGATTCACAGAAGCATAATACCCTGTACCACATATATATTAAAAATATATAAAAGTGCAACCGATGGTGGATTTTCAAACCTGTTTTTAATATACATATTCTCGCACAGTGATATATATTCCATTAAAAATGGTTCAGGAAAACGGGATTTGGTGTGTCACTGTACTAATATTCTTAATTTGCAAATTTACACTGGAATTTGAATCACCATCATATTACGTCTGCGCATTTATTTGATTGAAAATAAGATATATTGATGCACATTTTGCTAATAAGCAATACAGCAGTAAGTTGGTAATCGGGATTTCCAGTGAGTTTAACAACAAAGCATAAAAAAATCGAAAGAGGTCCACCGTCTTCCTAGTGTCAGATATTTTGAAGGTTTTGGCCCTGGAGTTTTAATTTGTGCAAAAAAAGAAGTAGGTTTACATCTTGGTATATCCACTCCGACTCCAGCTCCGTATTTTAGGAAAGTTATAGACTCCCAGTGTATTACTTATAATTTGTTATTTCGGCATATTTGTTTTGTGGTATATAAATATATTTTATAGCCGTAGTGGAAGTTTCCATAATATCAATTATTGTCCAAAATTTATCGTATCTGGAAGTCTTATTAATGATTGATGTGTCCTCATTTAAAAAAGACAATCCGACATATATTACAGCCTACACTCATCTTTATTTAGGTCCAAAAGTGATATTTAAATGTCATTAAATGATTATGATCATATGATACTATTATTACGCTTAAAACAGAACGAACCTGACATTGGGGACGACCCCTATATTAAGATTTTTCATCCAAGAAACGAATTACAATAACATCTTCAAAGATTATTTTGTGTCTGACAATCTAATATGTCACCTCGCTATAAAGCGGGAAATTAACCTACCGGATCATTTTTCCTTTTTCGTTTTCTCCTATTTCCACCAAAGACTTTCATTCCGACTTTGCACCAGAATCAACTGATTTTGTGAAATATGGAATTTTTGAATTCAATAAATTGTGAAGGCATATTCACGATTTAGAGTGTAATTCAAAGGTTGGATCTTTCTGAATGTACTTTGATATTATATTTTCTCAATTTTTTTAAAAATTTAGACAGATTTTAAAATATTAAGTATTGTGTATCAAACCGTTTTTAATGTAATTTTATCTCTGGATATTTATTTATTCCAAATTCTATTATATATCCCACACACAGCTAAGAATAAATAAATTGATTATTATTCCAAAATCACATTTAAATAGTTACTTATGCATTCCATACTTTGAATTCATGTCCAATTTTCGTTACTTATAATATTTGACTTTTTCATTTTCAACGTCAAAACGTTTCGGTAGTTGTGTGCAAACCCTTGTCAACCAGATAACGCAATTTATAACAACAACGTGAAGATGTCCAAATAAACAAACAAGAATTTCCATCCACCGCCCCAGCCTCTGCTGCGCAACGAAAATGTCCATACCGAATTTGAGTTGCGACGTGTAATAATTCCTTGGCCCACTTATCTGATTAACAAAATGTAATAACTTTTCAATTTAAGTCCTTCCATTCCCAAAGATAATTTCGGTCCTGTGGTTAAGGTAGATCATTTGCATTTCCATAAGATTTGTTGCGGCCTCTTTGGGGTCCACTGTCCTCCCTTTCGCTGTTCGCACAGATAATTTATGCCGTGAAAACCACAACAATTGACAATGGAGCCAAAATGTGTCACTATCGCTGGTTGCCAGGGGATGTATGGTGCGGTTGGCAAACACGCTTCTAAGGCCGCCATTTTTGTGGAAATATTTTGAAATTCGAAGAGAAATTTATGCAAAAAAAAAGAAAAAAACCGTCCAAGTCCAACAACACAAATCCCAAAAGTTAACATAAACAAGCATACCTGCCAATCCCCTTCTGCCACGTTGCGGCATTAACCAACGGCTACAATCAGTTGTTCGATGTTGTTTTGTTTGTTGGTGGTCAGAAGCGACAACACCAGCGCAAATATTCACAGATAATGGCGACAAATGGCTTGAACTCACTTGCTTACTCGCGCCGAGGACAAGTGGCAGTGGCAAGGACAGGCATGTCCTTTATGCTAAGTAATTTTACTTGTTGGCATAGGTATCTGTTAATCTGTCCCCAGTGTCTTTTTATTACACCTTATTATTACGCAGCTACACTTGGTTGGTTTGTTGGTGGTTGTCAAAAGTGGGGGACTTTCCGTTCGTCCATTTGTTTTTACAGCTGTGCAATGTTGGGATGTCAGCAGCAGCAGCAGTAGCACAGCAACGGATAAACAGCCGTGTTGTTTTTTCTTTTTGTGACCAGTTAAGGTCACACTAAAAGCCCTCTAACAAATGTCGCGACATAAAATGTACATTTCAGATATTTAATTTGGTTGGGATTTCTTCCCATATTCCTATTAGTTTTGTCGGTTGCCAGAGAGATAGCAACGCTTGAATTAGCATTCACATCTCGTTGGCATTGAAAAGCCCAGGCTTGAGCGAAGAGGAGGGCAATTTCTTTATTAATTTTTATTTGATAACACTTTAAGGGAAAAACTTTGAAATCTTTTAATGGCCATAAATTATGTTTTTGTGAAATATATTAAAAAGTTTCGCCTGTTTATTTCGTTGTGTTTGGCAAAATAAATCAAAGCATTTTCATGATTTACAGGCGAGAAACAAAAAAACAATTTCCTTATAAATTTAACTGAACAATTAAAGTGATGGCGGCGAATACTCTACACGCACACCAGGTGTTGTGGTGTGAATAATACATATAATGGAAACACGAAATAAGTTTTCGAAAGAAGCAAAATATGTACCCTAAACGCAATAATATAATGGAAACGTGAAAAAAGTATTCGAAATTATCAAAATGTGTATATATACAGAGGGCAGGCTGGCGACTTGAAAACGCATGGGATTGCATACAATAAAATTTGTAAATCGCTATCTTTTTGTGCAATTAAAATTTAACAATTTTTTTGATTTCAATCAGTCGTAGTAAGATCTTTATTTGCCAGAATTAAATATTACGAATTATATCACTTCAATTGGAAATTGGGGTGGAAAACTTCGAAATGCTATACTGATAAATACTGTTACAAATAAAATGACCAAATTATTTCTATCGCGGTGGGTGAAATAATCGTTTGAGATGTC